GAACCCGAGCTCTCAACACCCTACGTCCCCTAACCCTGAAAGCCTCAAAAACTCAAACCCTAAACCCTAAACCCCAAATCCTAAACCTCAAACCCTGAACCCTGAACCCCTCTAAAACCTCCCTTGCCGAAGGCTAACATGGACTACTATAGGAGAGAATTCCTTACGTAATCCTTAATCCCCTCCCCTAATATTTCACCCCCGACCCTCCGTAATATTGAATATTGCCCATTGTGGTACATTATAATATATTGAGCGTATTTATTTTTAGGGGGGAGGTGTTAAATATTGGGGGGGATTAACAGGGACCCCATGCTCTCAGTGTAATTCTTTCACGAATAGTAAGCACCCCCTCCCCCCACCCCTAATGTGTTACATATGTTCTCTACGGTATATACTTGTGGGGGACATTGAACATTAGGGTGGGAGGGGATGTTGTGAGTGCCAGCATGATCTAGTAGTAGTTTTCATTTTCTTTCTCATTCCAATATTCAGTGGTAATATTACCCCTTCAGGGGTTGGTGAGTGCTTAATCCATATACGCAATCTGCTCAGTCAACGTCTTCCCTATAAGGGCCCCCAGGATTGGGGCCCCCAGGATTGTTGCGTGTTCCCTAGATGTCCCTGATCATCCCGAAGCGGCCCGCTTTAGGGTTTAGGGTTTAGGATTGTTGCGTGTTCCCTGTATGTCCCTGCTCATCTCGAAGCGGCCCGCTTTAGGGTTTAGGGTTTAGGGTTTAGGGTTTAGCTGTTCTGAGAAACCCTAAACCCCATGACATATCCCCCTAGAACCTTCAGAGAACCTTCAGACATGACCCGTTCACATCCATTAGAGTCCTACATATCCCCTTCACTCTCTCATATATATATATATATAAAATATAACCCCTGCATATCCCTTAGGGTCCCTAAGGGCCTCTCATTTGGAGACCTCCCCCCCCATCTGAAATCAAATTCTAGGCCCCAGAGCAGCTTCTCGACGTGGCCAAGGCTGCGGGTCGTTGAATCTAGGGTTAACGGGTTTAGGGTTTGGGGTTTAGGGTTGCAGAAGGGGTCAGAGTGTGTTGAATGCTTTGGGGTGAAGGGTTTGGGGGTTGAGGGTGTAGAATTTGAGGTTGAGAGCTTAGGGATTGAGGATTTCGGGGCTTACGAGTTGCGGATTTAGCGTTTTAGGGCCTGCGGCTTTTGGTTTCGCAGTGTGCGGTTTAGGCTTCAGAGTTCAGAGTTCGGAGGTTAAGGGTATAATCACAAGGACTCACACACACTCTCTCTCTCTATCTCTCTCTCTCTCTCTCTCTCTCTCTCATACTGTTTCATTCCTAGAGGAAGGACAGACCAAGATTGAGTGTTTAGGGTTTCAGGGTCTTGGATGCAGGGTTGAGAAGGTACACCGGAATGCTACGTGCTTTCTGTTCTCGTTGCAGGCAGTTTCTTCCAACACGGTTTGTCATGTAGTGTCTAGGGCAATATATGTATATATATATATAGATATATGTATGAGATGGTAGGGTTGTTGAAGCACACGTATTACAGTGAGCAGAACCTAGCCGTTTTGTCGATAGAAATAAAGTCTACGCTGGGTCAGGCCCCCTCCCCCAAAAAGTGTCCCTCAAGGGGTGTTCATTTCAGGGCCTTCATAACGCAAAGAAGAATGACCGCCAGTCTGCCAGGCTTCTAGACAAGATTGCAGTCCGAATAACTGCTTGGGGCTGTCAAAGTTGTGGACCCTACGCCATAAACCGCAAAACCCCAAAGCCTAAAAAATGAACCCCAAAACCTGAATCTTAAACGCTAAACCGAGACGGACTCTATGGTTTAGGGATCGCTGTGGCAACAACAAGTCTCCTTCGGCTACTGTATAGAGCAATGATCCTAAGTGTGGAGAACAGCCTAAGCCCTAAACCATTTGAGGTGTTTGTTCGGGTTAGCGGCTAGCCGCTTTCTCTACGGAGCTTCAAGGCCCGGGGTTTTCAAAGGTGCTTGCTCAGCCTCCCCGATCCGAATGATAGCCAGGCCAAGTTTGGGGCAGGCACTCCCATCTTTGCTGACTCTGCCCACTGGTGGCTCGGTGCGGATTTGAGTACTGTCATGTCTGTCGGCTGAGGGCTTGTGGTTCGTAATTTCCCACAAAGGGTAAGATTGTAATTTGTGCTTGTATTGTATATTTGTTCTCACAGCTTGGAAAAGAACGTACTGTTACTTGGGTTCGTTTGAAGAAGACACACCTCATTTAGCTTTGACATAGCAACACGACTTGTAGAACCTGCGTACTAGTACTATCAGGCAAGTTGCAACGAGAAGGAATCCAAGCTGGCAGCTGCCTAAATGCCAGTGATGATCATCACAGTAGCAAGTATCACTGGTGACCCTTGCAGCTTGTCGCACTTGCCTCGGTGGGTTGTCAGACTCTAAAGAGATACCAATATCATATCTGTTTGCTGTTTACTTGAGGTATCCTACACCATAACCAATTATGTAGAATCTAGAACCACAGCATTGGCAGTTGTTTCGGGCTTCTACATTACGTGTGAGGTCTGCTTGTTGAAGGTCTTGCTTCAGATCGATGTACAGGTTATATAGGGTTGAACTCTATAGGGGATATGTGCGGGCCATATAGGGCGCAGACTTATCCTGAATCCTGGCGGGTTAGGGTTCAGTTCAGGGTTGCAATAACCTTAACCCTCAACAATGAACCTTGAGCAGCCAACCCCTGCTCCATCCATATAAAGTGCATATAGGGGCTATGTGGGGGGTTTATAGGGGTTGCGTAGGGGTATATCGGAATTCATCATTACCATTATTAGTATTACCCTAAGGGTCCAAGTACCCAATAATCATATACTTACCCAAAACCTCTATTATATTTATTATTACCAATATCCCAAGTACCTAAATATTGGGTATATGCACCCTTAGGGTTACAATTACTATCCCCGTTTGGAGGCATGGCTTCCTCCACCGCTTGGATGTGCCTTGCTCTGGCATGATCCTCGTGGCTACACGCTACGAGGCCTTCTACGTCCCGCGGACGCACGGGGAGTCAGCTTTGCTGCGGTCCTCACCGTGAGGGGTTGTACATACAGGTATTTCTTATAGAATCACGGCCCCCAATCTGCTTCAACCCCCCCTTTAGGGTTTCGGGTTCAGGGTGGGGTTTCCCAATATTAGGGGTACCCTGTAAAGGGGTTCCAGGGATTATATAGGGTTTATATATGGGTCATATAAGGGATATAGAGGGTTTAGGGTTTAATTAGGGTTTAGGGTCCCAACATTGAGGGTGCCATTTTGGGGGTCCCAAGATTAAGGACTATAGTATTTGGGGGTCTATCTTGGGGTCCCCCATTTACTTAAACCCTAACCTAAACCCTAAACCATACTGTAAGGGGCCATTCCTAAACCCTAAACCCTGGAGTGTCCTGGCCCGTAATCGTGTGAGGGAGACCATGCTGGGCTCCAGAACCATGAGCCTAAACCCGAAAGAAGATTGCCCTAAACCCTAAACCCCTATAATCAAGTACAGTAGATAGAGTAGAACCTACTATAGTATATTGGGGTTATATCGAGTAATATAGGGATATAGTCCCCCTCAAGTAGATAGAATACGGCTTTGGATATACCATAATAAGATCCCCATATACACGAGATTCTATCTACTTAAGGGGGACTATAAACCCTTCCTTGACCCAACCCTATCCCTCAACCCCAGGACTTGCAGTTGCAGCTCCACACAGGGGACCTGGAGCGCGATTACGTCACTCAGCTTCGAGATGAAGGTCTAGGTTTTAGGGCTCTGCAACCTGAGGTTGTCTAGGGCTTAGGTTTTTAGGGTTCAGGATTTTCGGGATTTGGGGATTTAGGGTTTTGGGATTTTAGGGTTATATACGGGTCGTTTTGGGGGTTTCGGGTTTAGGGGTAGTGAGGATGATTATACGGTGGATGGAGGACATCTTGCACCATCTGGGATCAACGATAGAATATTCAGGAATTCCGAGGACTCTAATGTTGGACCTCCTTTAGCCT